TCAAAAGTTCCACAGGAACTTAAGGAAAAATTTCCTCAGAGGAAGGATGACAGAGCACTGGAACAGGCTGCCCAGAGAGGTTGTGGAGTCTCCTTCTCTGGAGATCTTCTCCTCTACGTGACCCTGCATGTCAGGGCCTCTAGAGGTCCCTTCCAAACTTAAGCATTCTGTGATTCTATGATTCTTTGATTCCTCCTGGAAACCCTCACTACATCTGAGCTCTGTTTAACAGAAACAGCCCCAGGGAAGTGCTGCATCAAGTTGATCAAAGCACCAACTGCTGGGGCTCCAGCCTGTTTAAGAGTTGATTAAGATATCTTTGACTCCCAGAGATGACCCAGGAAAGAGCCACCCAGAGATCGTCACAGAACATGCTGGTCCTGCTAGCTCTTGCTGGAGACTTGGAAATCTCGGTTACAGTGGTATAAGTCACTTCTGATCCCTCTGATACCCCTGCATGGTCATGCTGAAAGGGCTTGGACCAGTGATGCAACCCTTTCTTATTTTCCCTCAAACCTCTGCCATTTGTGTAGGTTCCTTCAAATCTCTATTTTCTATGAAAGAAAGAATATGTTGTTCCGGAATCTTAGATTTCCTGTAATCCTGCAGAAAGATTAGGAATAAAAAGTGGCTTCCAGTTGTTTACTCATTCTGGAGGGGGAAAAATAGTTTAAAGTATTTTTGACAGGCCTGAAGTACTTTGCAAACTTAAAATGATGTCTCTTTCTTCTCCAGATTTTATGACCTCTCGTCCCTTTTCTCTCTAAGAAAAATTCACAATCATTTTCTATTTTCTTTTGAATTGCCGAAAAATAGAGAAGAAAAAAACAATCTGTTATGCAACAAGTTCTGTGTGCCATTCAACACTAGCTAGTCCAAAAATGATATTTTAAAATGATCTATATGCTGAGTGTTAAGTAGCTTGGCTTCTTTAGTGCTGGGCTGATAATAACTTCATTTAAGCTGAGTACATTTTCATACAGTTCCCTCAGTGAAGTCCCACTTCAACCTCCTCCAAAAGGAGTGCTTATTAAATAAGGTAAAAATAAGGACTTTGTGCAGATAAAGTAATCTGACTCTGTTGGCAGTATAAATATTAAGCAAATCCTAATGTTCAGATCAAGTAACATTTCATTCCAAAAATATTCCAACTATTTCAGTTCGTAAATGTAACAGTCTATTTAATGGAACTCCATTTATTTTAATATGTACCATTTATTTTAATATATAAAATAATAGTATTTTAATTGCTTTTGAAAAAATAAACATGCTACAGATATGATGTACTAATCAAAAATCTGGACCAAAGTAATTTAGGTAATTGCAGATTCTGTTACCAAAAGCGCAACCAGTTGTTCTGCAGCAGGTCTTGGCTACCTTTGGAGTATTCATTTATATTAAGGATATTGCAAAATAGCCTATGAGAAACAGTTTCACCATCTTTAGTCTAGGATCAAAAAGAGCCCTTTAACGTGGAGGCAAAAATCTTGTTAAAATACATGCGGGTCTATGATTGTTAATTTGAATAATTAAACTGAATTTGGATTATAAAGCATTTTTTAGGAAATAGTGACTTTATGGCATGATTGTTACTCAAATCAGCCCTATTGTTAGGATTAAAATGCATGTAAATGCTATCTTTGTTCAGATTTTTTAGGAGAAAAATTGTTCCATGAAGAAAAGCAGTTTTAACTATTGTCTTATCTCCATTGTCTCAGTCTTCAAAAGCTTATGGGATGTCATGGCTTTCGACTATTGATGGCATGTATGATGTGAATCCCAGGCTTGTGAGCAACATTTTTAACATTTGAAATGAAGACTGCTTGCTAAAGAAATGCTTCTTAACTAAATCTAATTTGTGATACATAGTTTTCACAGTAATAGAAACTGGACGCCAATTTTTCTTAGGTATTCAGAAAACCTGATGAGCAAAGAGTCCAGATTTTGTTGCCTTAACTTGAAGCTTTGAATGATGGGGTTCATATCTAAGTTTGAGTCTGATTACTGAGGCATACTCTGCTTCTCAACAATATTTCAAATATTGTATATTTTTTCTTGCGTGGGTGAAAAAAAAAGAGAGAATAATTGAAACAGAAGTTGTCATATTCCATTGAAAGATTCTATTTCATGTTACTTCAACCATTATTTTTATATTTGGTGTGTGGTGAGGAGATGTCTCATGCCTAACCACAGCTTTTTGCTAGTGGCATTGCAAGAGCAATGTAGAGCCATCCCTTTTTTATACGATAATGAACCTAGACAACAAAATTACTTAACTTTGTTATTGTCAACAAAAGGAGTCTCCCATAAATGTCAAGCTATATTTGTAAGTGAACTAATTGACTCAAAAGCAGCATAACTCTAGAAAACAAGGATGGCATCTACAGAAGATATTCAACAGCGCACTAGAGGAAACGGATTTTATTCATAGTGTCTATGTATCAACTTTCAGATATTTTTAGAAAGCCGTTCAGTAGAATCTAGACATGTTAATGACACTATCCCGCTGAAAGTGAATGGAAACTTTGCCAACCTACTGGCAAAAATCTTACTTATCTGAAGAAATATTTATTTTCCTTAATGGAAATAGAAAATACTCATTCAAAGGTGACTATTCAATAAAAGTGCACTTTCTGCTATAAAAATATTTTATACTTTTGTAGTTTTAGCCCAAGCTTTTTAAAGTGAAATCAATTTCTTACCTCAACTGTATTAATCATGGAAAAAATATAACTTCTGTCTTTTGTGAAACTGTCACAGTTTCTATGAAATATTAGACCCTAGGGGACATTACTCTGTTTAATGCATTCTTCATGTTTCTCTCATTTCTTTTTTTTTTTACCATCCCTTTTACTCGTTTGATAACTTTTATTATTCCCTCTCTCATTTAGCAAAATTCAATAATATAACCCTGTTCTGTTCCTTTTAAAGACAATTTAATATAAGTCACTAAAAATCAGGGATTTAGTATTTCTATTTAACCATATTTATCACATTTTTGTATTCTTCATTTTCCTCTTTTTCTATTTTTTTGGTTTCTTACATCTCTGAAAAATACATGACATCCATTGGAATTCAAATTGAACTGAACCTAGGTAAAATCAGATTCTCGATAATTATTTAGGACCCTAAAGATATAGGAATAAATACACAGTGGGATTTTCAAAAGTGCTTAGAAGCATTTAATTTTTATTGTGTAATTAGGCTTCACGTAGCAGTTTTCATGTTCTGAAATTGTATTTTTATTTTAAAAAAGAAAAAAAAAACCTGTTTCTGTCTCACTCTAAGAATTGTGCTTGTATCCGTGTTTACCATGACTAGATCCTTCTTCTCTAAGTGCAGTCTGTGGTAATTATGCAGTAGGAGGAAGCGTGGCAGAATTGTGTTCTCAAAGGTATACACAGGGAAACAACTCAGTGTGGGCTGTCTCTCAAGAGATGCTCCAGCTGATGAACTTGCTAATTTATTTCAAAACTTTTTTTTTTCCTTTTTTTTTTTTGTCTATTTTGAATAATATGGGAACTGGTTACTCTGACAATTAGAAACCTCAGTTTTTTGTTTTGTTTTTTACTTTACCAGACTGTTTTTAGGTTGAACAATTCATGCCAGCTGCAGGTAGGATTCATAACTCTAGCCATCTTAAAGCTAACTTCCCCTTTTCCGCTAATTGTCTAGACACCCTCTGTAGTCAGTGAAGAAATAGAGGCACTTCAAGAGAGTGATTCATTCTACCCTAAAATAGATGTCTAAGCTGGGATGAACTGGCAGTTGCTGTCTTTCTCCACCAAATAGCAGGAGAGTGCTGAAAACTAGCTAGTCAGTAACTATTGATAAATCTGTTATCCGTATCTGTTGTTTTTTTCATCTGGGAGATGAGCAACTCTTTCCACTATTTTGCCATATAGGACAAACAGATGCCAAATAGATGTTAATATTGAGTTGATCATGATCATGGGGCAGAAAGCAATATTTACAGTTCCAGAGAACCTGTATATAGACAGTCTGTGTTCTGTTTTAATTATCAGATGGCAACTAGGAGGCAAAACTGATTTCTAGTATGTTGTACATGTGTCAGGTTGGGATTAGCCTTGAAACAAGTATCTACCACCTGTGAATATTGCACACCAATGAAGATTAGTAAGATATAATTTGTTTTCTTTTTTAAGTAGTAAACATCTGTTAAATGTTTTTCCTGACTGGACAGTCAGATTCTTCAGATGATTGTTCTTTACCAAGAAAATGATGAACAGAATAATCATTGTTACAATAGGATGGTGTTCTTTTAGGAAAGTTCACTTGGTTTTGTTCATTCCTTTTATTACTCTAGTTAAAGGAAGAAATGTCCAAAGAAAGGTGCTTCTGAGAGCTGTCTATCTGAGCTTTCTTTTATTCATATTTAAAATGCACTTAATGCTCATGGTGCTTACATTTAACTGATACTATTTTAAACTAAGAACTGTAAATTCTTAATATCCATATGTATATTATGAAATCTGTAGCGCAGGATCACTTCTATTACTTTAGGCCACTTTAAGGCAGAGAGAGACAATTCAGGCAACCAGTCTAATCATCCACACAGAACAGCCATAAGTGTCTCATCTAGTTTTCTCTTGAACTTGGCAAAACAGGGTAACAGGTAAAACAATGCAGACATTTCCAAACTAGATTTTTTTTTCTGTTTCATTTAAATTAGGACATAACTTCTGTTAGCAATCTGATTTTTGTTGGTGGTCTTCATTAAGATGATTTCTTTTTTTTCTTACCGAACTATGACTATAAAGACATACACATCATGGTAAATCTTTTTGATCTTTTTAATAAAAAAAGATACTGTTGCAATTACATTTCCATTTATTAATGTGATTTATTTTCTTTTTACGAACTTGACAGGCAGATTTCTGGAGTTCTTAACAAAGTTAAAACAATACCTATGCATGTCATTATGCATGCATAGCAAAATACTGAACAAAAAAATAATGTACACACACGCACAGAAAGAAGACAAGGCACTGTTAAGACTGTACAAGTAATAAATGCCTGAAAAGTTATTGATACATAAAACGTAGGCAGGAACTCCTAATGAAAATTGTATCAGTAGTCATTTTAACACACTAAAGCTGTACGTTGTTTTGGGGTTCTCTGCTTAAAAGCTCCTCTGTGTCCCTCTTTCCATACGTATTAGATCCCACATTGGTAGGTGAATAAATTGCACCGATGCTGTTGCTGGAACGCACTAAGAAGTCGGCCAAGCGTTGTGTCACACATGTAGCGGTGTTGCATTTCCGTTTCTCCAGATGGTGACTCCTAACAGAAGACAAAAAGAACCAAGATGAAGTCAAATGATGAGCAATAAAATAAGCCACTTCTAAAAGGCATTTGAGCTGTGCTAACGTGGGAGTTCTTTTAATGTGAGCACAAATACATGAACATTACAATCTTCCTACCACCTACTTTGTGCCTGAAAAAATCTTGCTCTCTATGCTATTATCAGTTTTAATGACGGGGATTATCTAAATGCTTAGAGTATGACTTAAGAGTCATATGTCATTTTTATTGATGTTCTGCACAACAGTTTGTGACATCTAGAAAACCTGTAATGATAGTATAGTTAAGACAGTAAGTGAAAACAATGACTAAATGTTTAGCTTTCAGCTGAACTACTAAATCTATTTAAAGCCCTTGCTGATATCATGAGGATTGCTAACATAATGATGATCACTTTCATTTTTTTAATTCTCTTATTTCCATAGACTCATATCCTGCTCTCAGTGAAGTGAACATTAATCCCCTAATTCACATCAAATGGATGAGCCTAAAGACTGTCTCCAACTATCCCATCAGGAGAGGTAGTGGACACTGCCAACTTCTCATGGCTCCAGTGCCACTTCAGATTTAGTTCCACCCAAACAGGAATTTAGTCACTACCAAAAAGCAGCTACGTCTTGTTGAAACACCAACTACTTGATAATGCTATTGTGGTAGAAAGTAATCATTTCCTGCATAACACTTCAAAGAGAATCCATGAAAGAATCCATATCTGAAAAATAACATTTTATGGTTTGAATCAGCAGACCATCTACAGAATTCTGTACAGAACTTGTGTAACGTGTAACCATTATATCGTTCCACAAGACAGAAATACTCTCACTGCTCAGGTTGCTTACTGAGTTGTCAATAACTTTCCTGGGCTTCCTCATGTTGTTGTTGGCACTATTGTATTGACTGGCATGATGTGGCCAAATTCAAAGGCAATCATGAGAGAAATGTCTGAAATATACTGTTTTTTTGTCAGTAAATGGGTAAGGGTTTCTAAGTAATTAATATTTTAAATATGTAGCTGTATTTAAAATAAATGGCCATGTAGAAGTTGATATGGTTCTTTCACTGATATGTCTATTGAGTTAAGAAGAGTTGAATCAAGACGTTAATATTAGATGTTCAAGCAACAGTGGGTTCTCATTCTCAAATCTGTTCGTGGAGGCAGAGTTCTCATTATCTTTAAATGTACGAAGTGAGGCCCTGACACTCCAAGTTTAATTCCAGTCCTTTTTGAAGGTTACAAAGTTTCTAACTGATATCTAGTGTAACTGAACTGATCATAGATGTAAAATCCCTGATCTGCAGCATTTATTTGATTAGATGTTTTGATGGAGCAGCTCACCCAGTGAAAGAGAATAAGCAAGGGCCACAGCAAAGCAGATATGGCATACCACAATCATAAAGGTAATACTGTGCACTTTATAATAATAATTATTATTATTATAGATTTTAAAGGTAATAGCTATTAAAAAAACCCACAACTCTATCTCAATGAACAAATTATTTTGGAAGATAATCAAACTCTCATGTAATAACAATTCTTCAAATAGAGAATGAGAAATACAGATCAGAGATGTCTACACAGAGTATAGATTCACTGAATCTGTCTGTAATAGAACTGTCATTGAAGAAAATCACTTGTAAGCCTAATGACCAGGTGTACTAATTCAGTGCTTCTTATCATATGGTACTAATTCCAAATGCTTTTTGAAATGCTTGTCAATTATTTAAAAATTTATCTAAAAATAGCATTTATGTATTTATAAACAGGAACACATTTCAGATTAGCTAAGTTCTATGAGAGCCGATTGGTTCTTTTGTCCTTCTCATTATTAAATTGATATTTAAATGAATAATGAAACATAATTTATTCAGAAAATAGTTACATTTCAAAAAAAAAAGTTCTAGCAGAGCTTTTGTGTTATTCAGAAAGACTTTTCTATTTCTTTTCCTTCAAGTTGGAAATATAACAGATAAAAATGCCCTTTTAAAATAAAAGGACTGAGTAGGCTTTTTTATTTATGAAAGGGTTAGAATGGAGCTGGTAAACTGATCTGTCACTTTTGTTCCTGGATTTGTCTTTCCAACCTGATCTTTAAGATTATTGAGTGTCTTAATTTCATCTCAAGTAAGTGTTTTAAGCTCTGTTTGAGAGTTGAATAGGAAGAGTCTGAAGGAATAGAATTTCACAGGCATGAAGTTTGCTTCCTAATTTAACTCAAACTGACTAGAAGAGAAGAGAAGAGAAGAGAAGAAATCAATACCTTTTTGGCTTTGATGCTGCTTGTTCTGGCACTGTCTCACTAAGTCCTGGGAATGCATTCCTTGACATTACTGGCAATATCCATCCTTGTCTCTTGGAAGTCCCATCAGATAGATCTTCAGGCACAGATAGTAATCTTTAAACAACAACAACAAAATACTGTGAGATTGAATAGCTTTATTTTTGCTCATATCACTCGAGACAAAAAAACAAAAGCGATTCATGCAACAACCTAAGCGTGTTTTCCCCTAAAAAGAAATAAATACAATTTTTTGTAACTCACTTCTCAATAGGTGTAGCTTCCAGACAGCTCAAAGCGACAGAAAGTACAATGAAGACAACTGACAGCTTTAGGTTGCACATCTTTGCTTCCAAAGTTTCTGGAAAGAATAATGATTCAAAACTGAAAGCAATTCTAAGTACTCTTGAGCAAGTTGTATTTCTGATGCCCATTCTGTCCTAAATCAACAACGGCTAATCTCTTTTGTGTGAGCAAAAACATGATCCCCCTAAGTTTAGTCACACCATACAGTTTCAGACAAATAGCTCTCAGCAGCAAATGCTCATTTTCCATCTAACAGTGTGAATCCTTCCCCATATCACTGGGGTATGTCCTGAATCTGAAATTCTGGTTACAAGTGTAATTTGTCTTGAACTTATTTTAGCCTTTTTCTGAAAAATACTGCTGTTTAATAGTGAGAAAGATTGTGCTTTCCTGAAAGCACTGGTATTGCATGGTATCTTAAATAAAGGAAGAAAGGAAATTGTTTACCTTTTGATGCTCAGGGAGCTAGCTGAAGAGGCACTCCTGTGCTAGCAAGAAGGGTGCATGCAACAATTCCACGCTTGCATCTGGCTCTGGAGTATCCGTTTTCCCCCTTTCCCTTCTGACAAGTAATACAGCTCTTATATACCCTTCACACCTTTCTCAGCTCTGACATCAGGCAGCACAGAGAGACTGTCATTAATTCCCATCCCTATAGATAGAAAGGAAAGTGCCCCAGAGAGGAGCAGAGGCAGATGGGTCATTACTGCATTAGCACATCAGTAAATATTGACCTAGTGTATGCAGGATGCCCTCATGAAGATACTGTAATAGCATATTGCACATCAGAACCGTAGCTGCGATTTTACAGTTCTGATAAGATGCCTAGGTAATATTCCTCCTGGGCGTTTTCAAGGGCTAAATAAGGTAACAAAAGTTATAAAGAAAGCAAGACTAAATGAAATGCCTGATCACAAGTTACTGAATTATAAGAAAACAGATGTATGATAGATAGGTTAGTTAAAATTGTTGAGGTTTGTTATAGAAGTGTATAATGTTCACAGCAGAAAAAAAAAATGTATAAAGTGATAAAAGCTGTATGAGGCATGAGAAAAAAGAGAAAATTATTAAAGTTGACTGATAGGATGATTAGTCAGATAGGAAATAAGATAGAAATCCTTAAGGTAGAAGAGTATATGTATGAATGAAAATATTGTTGTTACCAATGCAAAATCTTTTATTTTCTTAACAGAGGTAGATTCTTTGTTTCATGCATGAAAATATTCTTAAGACAAAGACTAGTATTAGAAAGCTATCAAATGTCAGAGCAAAGGCTGCTTGTGCAAATTTATTTCTCTACTGTTCATAACGTGGCTGAGGGAAACATAATAAAACATGGCTTTGCAGAGGTTAAATCTAGTGGTAATGATTTTGTTGCAAATCTACAAAGATACAAATTAGGACCCATTTCCAAGGGTCCTGATTTCAGTAGGAATTAGGCAAATTACCTTTTTTCTTTAGTATCATTTGTTGCCTATTTGTACCTCTAAGTGCCCAAATGCCATTGAAAAACTGGTGTCTCAAGTATTTATGGACATTAAGATATTGACACAAAAGCTAGAAGACTCCTTCATTGTCTTTTTAGTCTGTAACAGCAGATATTGAACTGAAATGGCCTAAGTTCAATTGCTGATTCCCTTCAAACATCTGTACTACTTGGCTGAGGATAGCAACCTCTTTAAAACAGCTGTTCATTATAGAGCTTGCCTGTCAATAAAATTTTAGCAAGTGACACTTTTTTTTTTTTTAATAGGGATGTTGCTTCTTAACATTTCACTCTCTGTTTTTAATATGCTATACTATACTTCTTTTGCCATCGGTTCCCATCTTATTGCCCTGGATGGACAGTCCTAGGGTGAAAAACCTGAGTATAGCTTCCCTTAATCTTCACCATGATATTATGTGCTGCATACCACCTTTAAATAAGTTGAGCATAGCTTCCCTTAATCTTCACCATGATGTTATGTATGTGCTGCATACCACCTTTAAATAAGTTCAGCTCTTCATAATGATCCATTTAGCACTCTGAAGAAGTATGTGCTCAGCTCTTGTGAAAAACCAAGCTCATGTTGTCTCAACTCATAAAAAGCAGCGGATAGATCAGCTGCAATTTGTGCAGGGTTCAGAAGTACTCATGTTTTAATGTGAGCATGTTATAGTGTTGCATCAAACTATAGGCTGGCATAAGATACGTGTAAACAGTTTTTTTCTAAGAAATATCAATCCCAAATTCTAATTCCAGCTCTTTTGAAAGTGGTCTTGGGCAGTTTCATTGCTTTGGAAGAAAAGCAGAAAAGCCTGTTCTTGCATGCATTATAGAAGTGGAAATGGCTCCCGTGCCCCAGAGTCGTTGCATTCCCTTTTTAACAACATTTTGACAGAGTCAGCAAGAAGTCTATCCAGCTATTGCAGCTCAGATACGATGTTCAGAAAACTAAGATACAATTGCTTCTGTTACAAATCTCTCTTAAGCAGAAGTGGTGGTTTTCCAGGCAAAACAACAGAGAATTATGTAACTATGGAACCTCTCTGCCATCAGGAGTATTCATAACTTAGCTTTCAAGAACAAAGTCCTCTCCTGTAACTATTATTCAAAAATCGGTATAAAACTATGTTTATCACTAACTGTGTTTAAACTAGTGTTTAAACTCCTTACCAAACTCCTTAATGTTGGTCTCAAAAATAACTTAATTATCATGCATAAAAAATGTTATTAGTTTGAAGCAGAAACTAAGGATTCTGAGTTTAAATAAAATAGGAAAAAAAACCCTGCCTTGTCTTTCATAGTTAAAATATGTTGACTGATTTATAATCTCATTTCAGTCCATATATGAAGATCTATCTAAAATGTTGTGCCTATATGAGGCTAGCCAGACTCAACAGTGAAGCTGAGGTTTTCAAAGGATGCAGAGGATACAAAATGCCCATGTCCCAGTTCCTTCTAGAGACTGCCTGCTTGCTTGCCTTGATTTGCAAGATGATAAGCATGCGCTGTACAGTAACTTACTGGTAGCAGAGGAAAAGGGACCCAATCTCACCTTGAATGTCTGCTGCTTTTGCGTGCTGAAGAGTGGGATCCATGCAACTGAATGAGTGGAGAGCGCATTCTTGCGCATGTTTTTAATGTAGGAGTTTAAAATAGCTGTGATGATTTGTACTTGTTTCTCCTCATTGACTATAAAAGCAGCCTTGCGTGACTAGCTCACATATAGATGTTTATACTGGAGGAGTTCATATATATGTGAAATTAAGTCCATTATGGGTGCCTTAACTCTTTTTTAAGTCTTCATTTGCCTAACACTTAAGGAGTCTCCCTCTGCCTTTTTCTTGGGCTATTATTGGCACCTGCTAGGCAGATATTTCCCACTCTCCTGGCTGCTTTTCCCTTTCTGAATTCCATATGAGCTTGACAACAGTAATAACGCACATATAGACTTTAGGTAATGGATATTTCTTTTCCTTTTGTGAGAGTCAAAAAGAGCTGTATTTCCTGTTGCATGTACTACCTTGCACTGCAGATGCTGTTCTTCAGTGCAAGGTAGCTGTCTGCAGTAAATTACACCATTGCTCATTAACCAAGAATTAGAAGTATGTGAGTAACTCATGGTTTAGTTTGCCTGAAGCGTGAAAACAAAGAAAAACTTTGGAGATTAATCTGAAATGAACATATTTCTTTTTTTTCAGTAAACCATAGCAACAATGCATTAACATGCATTGATGTAAATATTGCCAGTACTGAAAGAGAAAAAAATGTGCCATTGTTTGTTGTTATGCCTTGGACCGAGCATGATGCTGTATGTGAGCTGAACAAATTATTTTGCTTTTATAACTTTTTTTTAAATCACCTTTTTTAAAAAATCTGGACCAAACATCAAAACAAAAATAAAGGAGGAAGAAAAAAAAAGCCTTGTGTTCAAATGGCCAAGTTTGAAATTAAAAGAATAGCTAATATGCCTAAACATAGTTTTCTACTGTCATTTTAGACACCCTAGGATATCCAGGACAAAAATGTTCAGGCATGGCAAATAGGACACTGTCCTGACAACTGCAGACAGGGTGGGATAATGGACAGAGTATGAAATTGCACTGCGCACCTATGATTTGGAGCTTTAATAGTTCCCTAGATTTTTAAAATTGGATGCCAAAGCCTGAAAATTTGGGCCAAAATGTACTCTACACAGTATTTCTTGTTTGGTGTTATGCTGGTCAACACTACAATGTTTGAGTTCTAATTTGCTACTGGTGGCAGTTAAGATATGGGTGTCTGTGTTCAAGTATTGTTTTATCAGCTATACTTTTGCTATCATAACTTTGTTTGTTACTGCTACTTGGTATGTGCCATTTTAGCATTGATAAAAACACAAATAGCTCTTCCTGTTCACCTCAAAACTGTTGTTAATCCCACCAAAGACATGTGGAAGCAGTGGCAGGAACAAAGGTGATCATTTTTTACCTGTGGATAAAAATACTCACATGATTGAGAAACACAGGATGGCAATTCACAGAACTGACCACAAATGAAAAAAAATCATTTGGTTAGTTAAGAAAATCTTAATGCCCTTGTTCTGTTGTATAAAACAACTTGTTTGACACCACTGAAAAATGACAGTGTTGCCTCAAAAGGCTGATGCTGACGCTGGATCTGAGAATGAGCTCAGAGAGTTTGTGGTGAAGCAGTCCTTGAAGCTGGGAATCTGTCAAACAAGGATTAAAACCCATATTGACATCAGAAAAATCAGAATTGTCAGCACCGTGATTTATGAGTTGCAGTTTCTAATGCTAGTCACAATTCGTAGAGTTTATCTGCATGACTTCTACTGCCTTGTGTTCAACAATTCACCTTCCAACAGGAAATTTAAATTCATGACTTTTTTTTCCTCACTCTCCTGGAACATGTTTCTAGAAACACAGCCTAAAGCAGAATTCTCCTTTGGTTATCCATGTTACATATCAGAGCTCTAGGCAGTGCTAATTATAAATAAGTAATATGAAATAGTATTTCTTGTATTCTTCCTTCCTGATAACCTAAATCATATATTGCTTCGTGCTGTGATCATTTGCTAAAATAGCTGTCTAGAAGATAAAGGGGTATCTAGAAGATAAAGAGGTATTCAGCTCTCCAATACACTGCTGGTAGCACCCACCACCACAGTAATATGTGGACCTGCTCTTTCTCACCACAGAACAAAATATTTTGCTGGGGGGAAAGCTGTGCTTCTTGTAGTATCTCTTTGCAGCTGATGCGCTGTCAACTCATATCTTGTCTTGCTACACATGTTTCGTTACGCACATGTCCTGAGTACACTGCTACTGAAAGTACTGCCTGAGGCCCCACTGCTTGCTACTGCAAGGGAAAAAGAAGATAAAATAACTACATGAGTGTAGGAATGTGATTTCTGATTTCCTAAAGGTTACTGCGAGACTTCGGAAATCACCTCTCCATCCATCTTCCCCACCCCAACTTCTTATGACAAGTGCAGACCTCTGTTTGTAGAAGATACCGTGCGACCAGGAGTAACTCTCAGGCTTATTTCAGGGGAGATGAACTGCTAATAAGTGCAGAGCAAATGAAGCTGTTCACCAGTAACGGAAGTGGTTGATTTTCAAAATAAATCTCCACAATACCACATCAGCCCTTTCTAGCTGAGCTGGTGCATAAGTTTTAAGTAAGTTTTCTTTGAAACTATCTCACTTTCAATAATCAGTCTTTTTTTTTTTCTTTTCTTTTTTTTTTTTTTTTTTCTTTTTTCTCCCTGCAAGCTGCAGGAAGAAAACGACAATCTGGCTTTGTCTTGAAACACTGCGAATCTTTCAGATGATGCAGCTTTGACAGCTCGGCTATTAATAGTGGCATTTTCTCTCCTGTTTAAAAAGGAGAGTTGTGCTGAACTGAGAATCAGTCATGTTAGTAATGATTCTTCACTAGGGCAAATGCGATGGGCTAGCTTATGTAGGAGGATTTACGTTGGCAATGCCATGAAACAGAAATCAACTTATTTATGGTATTTCGGCACAGGTGAGGTAGGCTGCCAAGTAAGATAGCCCCTCATT